TTATTGTTTGGTGTTTTTTTTTTTTGTGGGGTGGTGGGTGTTGGTTTTGTTTTTTTTTTTTTTTTTTTTTTGTGGGGGGGGGGGGGGGTGGTTCCTAATAATGGATATTTTAATTAATTTTTTTTTTGAACACGATATTTTAATTAATTGAATAATATGATTTGACATAAATTTATAAGATGGCAAAATTTTTTGTTAAAAAAAAAAAGACAAGGAGAATCTCTTGGGGAACAAATATGTGGATTGAGAGCAACTTTGCTTTTATTTTTGAGAAATTTGGAATTTATTACAAAAATTTGGACATAATTGAGCTAAATTAGATTAAGGAAACTTATTTGGCTCTAAGTACATTTTTTTGAAAAAAAGACTAAGAGTTCATTAATTACTTTATTACTCTCTCTCCATTACTCTCTCACTTCCTCTTCTCTCTCTCTTCTACATATTTATAATTTTTTTCTTTTAAATATGTAAAGATTTGATTTGATTTGTTTTTTTCATCTCTCTTACTGTCTCGCCCCTATATTCTCTCACCATTACTTTTTTCTCCTTCTTCTTTCTCTTTATATCAAAGTTATAATAATACAATTACACAAATCAGTTTACCAATTAGTTACAATTATCATATAATACACTAAATAATTACAACACCAACTCTATTTGTCATTTAATTATTTACATAAATCAAAGAGTTACACAATTAATATCACGACATGATAACACTAATTATATGCACAAAATTAGGTTTATTATTACACAAAAGAGTTTATCACTACACCAAATTTGGTGCATATAATTAGTATAACCATGTCGTGATACTAAATAATATAACTCTTTAATTTATGTAAACAATTGAATGACAAATTGAGTTTGTGTCGTAATTTTGTGTAATTGTTTGGTATAACTGTTTAGTTTATCAGAACACATAAGTAATTATTTGGTGTATTATATGACAATTATAAATGATTGATGTAATTATGTTGTTGTAATATTAATATAAAGAGAGAGAGAGAGAGAGCGAATAAAGAGAAAGTAACAATGAGAGAAAATGTGGGAGAAGAGAGAGAAAATAGGGAAGAGAAAAAGATGAAAAAATCAAATATAATCTTTACATATTTTAAAATAAAAAAATTATCAATGAGAGAAACAGAAAAAAATTAGAGGAGAGAGTGAGAGTAATGGAGAGAGAAAATAATGATGTGAGAAAATATGAAAAGAGAGACTGAAAGAATAAAAGTTATGTATTATTTAAGGAAAGATAAATAAATAAAAAAATTCACAATCATAAAATATTTTATTAAAATTAAATTTAATAGAGTAAAATATTTATCCAGATACTTCCTCTCAAATAAGACTAAAAAAAATTACTTACACCCAAAAAATCCTTTATTTTTGGATAAATTACATTTACTCTCCTAAAATTTGGCTAAATAATAACTAGAACCCCACTTGTTTGAAAAATAACACTGACTTCCCCTATCAGTGACGCCATCCCTTTTTCATAACAAAAACTACAAAATGACTATAATACCCATCTTGTAAACTGTGAATTAATCATAATATCTCCATACGAAATATTAATTTGGATGATTTTTATTAACTTTTTAATCCCAAAAAAAAATAATAATAAATAAACAGGCAAATCTTGAACTTAGTCATCATCTTTTCCAACCATCATCCTAGCCACCATTGAAATCCACCCAACAAGCAATGCCACCAACATGAAAAATCATAGTTGCACTGACGCCATTATCCATACACTGAAAGCTCGAATCCTAAACACTACCACCACCTTTGCTCCACCAATCTCAAATCCGAAATATCACCCACATCTATCTCTAGTGACCCATCCCAATGCAACGAACACCCATTTAGAGAACAATCAAACTCATTTAGGACCTAATTTCAACAAACCTGTTCAAATACATGAATTACAGATCTAAGAGGCAGAGAGATGAAGGAGGTGAGAACCACATTCATACTCAAATCTTTACATTAAATAACTCCACAAACCCTTTCTTTATCTACCACCATCACCACCACGCTCATCCTTTCCCCTTTGTTTTTGCAAATCCCAACAATTGCCACAGCCGACCCCCATCTCCACCCTTAATATCCCATCTCACCTGAGGTGGAATCAAAACCCAACCTCATGACCTACCGAACATCATTTCCCCCCCACGATTCTTAACACATTGTCAGAACATCAGACCAACAAATCCAAACTAACACCAGCAACATCATTGCATGAGAGAGAGAGAGAAAGAGAACCCAAATGAGGTTGATTTAAAGGAATGGAGCTGAATGGTACAGAGTGAAAGCCAATCGTTTGTGGCGGAGGTGTAATTGGCACAGGGGTCGCAACCTTCTTATGTGACTCTAGTTGAGGAGATGGCCAAGCAGTGTCCATGAGAGTGCTACAGTTGTGTTTCCCTCCAAAAGGTGATGCAAGCAGAGCACATGAGGGAATCGGTGGTTTGGGTTCCTAATTCTTTGCACATTTGACCCAAGTCTTTTGTGTGACCATTTTAATTCAAAGCGACACCGTTAGAAATAATTAGTAATGTAAGATATGCCACATTAAAAAATTGAAAGGAAGTGTAAGAGTTTAAAAGAAGAGACACACCAAATTTTATAAGTTTAGATGATGGGAAAATTTGGAGGGAAACTCCAAATATTTCAAATTAATGTGTCTTGATTAGGCTTTAAACAAAATAATATTTAAAGTCAAAAGATGGACACTTGGACACTTATAAACAATTAATATTTTGTATTAATAGCAGTTAATTAACGACTACATGTCTCTTGATCTAAGAGTTGTGTTTCTTTTTTACATCACTAATATAATATAAATACTTGTACAAATTCTTCAATAAAAATAAAATAAGATAGAAAATGTTTCTTTATTCTGTTCTTGGGAGAATTTTAGAGTTTTCTAGAAAATGTTTCTTTATTCTGTTCTTGGGAGAATTTTAGAGTTTTCTATCTAAAATTCTATTTGACTTTGTTAATTTTAGAAGAATTTGCCACAAATCCAGCGGCAACATTGTGGAGGCATAATTTTCTTAAGGATAATGAATACACGATCAAAGCCTTCTAATCTGTTGTAGCTATTTTGGTAACAATCTTAAGAAAATTATACAACAATAGAGGCTACTGGTTCGAATTCTGTTTTCAAGTTCAATCCATAAGTGTTCAAGTTGGATCGTTTTGATGGAACGAACTTCACACGCTGGAAGGATAAATTATTTTTTTTACTTATTGAATTGGGTGTTGCGTATCTACTAAGTGAAAATCTGTCAACTATTTCCGAACTATCTGACAAAAAAGATGAAGAAACTATAACAACCTGCAAGAAACGCTTGAAGGATGAAGTACACTACAGAGGCTATATTCTGAATTCACTGCCTTATCGATTGTAGGATCTATTTCGTTCAATCAAATTCCCATAAGAAATCTGGAGTGCCCTGGAGAAGAAATATACATCTGTCAAGCAAGGTATGAACATATTTCTCGGTATGAAATTTTTTGAATTCAAAATATTTGATAATAAATCTATCATGGAACAAGTAGATGAATTGATTGTCCTAGCATCTAGACTCAAGGATTTTAAAATATAAGTGTCTGAACAACTTCAAGTGGTTGCGGCAAAATTGCTCACTACTTGGAATGATTATCAAAAGAAATTGTTGCACACTTCTGAAGATTTTATCATACACCAACTCATGAAGCATATCCGAATAGAAGCAGAAACTCGCAATCGTGAGAGTAAAAATGCTTTAGAGTCTGGTTCTAAAGTAAACAATATTGAGTCTAATACAAATAAATCAGCAATGACTAGTAATACTTCTAGAAATAAAAGGAAGTATGCTAAATCTTCAAGTAATAATTCTGCCAACAAAAAGAAGAACAAGACATGTTTTTTCTGTGGCAAGAATGGTCATTTGAAGAAAGAGTGCAGATTCTATAAGAAATTGAAGACAGAGGCAAACACTAGACAAAAGAAAGCCAATATTATTGAACGTCTTCCAAGTCCTTCTGAAATTATAGCTATGGTTGCTGAACTTAAAATCAGCATGATTATAGAATGCAACATGACAACAACTAACAAGACTGCAGATTGATGGTATGATTCTGGTGCGACAATGCATGTTTGTAATGACAAAAATATGTTCTAGAACTATGCAGTTGTAGCGAAGGATGAAAGTGTTCTGATGGGGAATCATGATACTGCCAAAGGGCATGGAAAATTGACTGTTGCACTGCAGTTTACCTCTGGAAAGAAACTGATCGTAATGAATGTATTTCATGTTCCTGATGTGAGAAAGAATCTGATATTTGCAAGTTTGTTGTGTAAGAAGGGCTTGAAGGCTGTATTAGAGGTAGAAAAAATTATATTTTTTAAGAATGGTGTCTTTGTTGGACAAGGGTATTCATGTGATGACATGTTTAAGTTGAGCGTTAATAAAGTTGATGTTTCTATTTATATTCTTAAGTCTCCTTTTAATTTATGGCATGCTCATTTATCACATGTTAATTATGGATCAATTAGGTATATGTCTAGGCATGGTTTAATGCCATGTACAAATGAAAATTTTGGAAAATGTGAAATATGCATACAAGCAAAAATGACTAAGAAACTTTTTCCAAAGAATGAAAGAACAACTGAAACACTTGAACTTGTGCATTCGGATATATGTGAATTAAATGGTCATTTAACTAGAGGAGGAAATATATATTTTATTACTTTCATTATTGATCATTCTAGATGTACTCAAGTTTATTTAATGAGAACTAAAGATCAAGCATTTGATATGTTTAAATGTTATAAACCTTGGTTGAAAATCAATTGGAAAATAAAATTAAAATCCTACAAAGTGATCGAGGTGGTGAATATTTTTCAATTGAATTTACTGTTTTTTGTAAAGAAAATGGTTTGATTCATCAAACAAGAACACCTTACACTCCACAACAAAATGATTTGGTTGAAAGAAAGAATAGAACATTGGTAGATATGATTAATGCTATGCTTATGCATGTTAAACTACCAGCAAATCTATGGGGAGAAGCTCTATTAACAACTTTCCATGTGCACAATAGAATACCCTCAAAGAAAATAAAAACTTCTCCATATGAAATATGTAAAAGAAGAAGGTCAAACTTAAGCTATTTGAGAGTATGAGGTTGTATAGCCTATTATAGAGTTTCAGATCCTAAAAGAACCAAATTAGGATCTAGAGCTCTTAAGAGTGTTTTTGTGGGTTATGTTGAAAATTCAAAAGCATATAGATTGTTGGATATAAACTCGAATATTATCATAGAGTCTACAGACATTGAATTTTTAGAAATAAGTTTTCTTGGAAATTCAAATGTCAATCAACAATTGAATAGAGAAAATGTTGAACCTCTAATTGCACAAGACATTAATATGGATCAAATTTCTTCTTTAAATAATAAACGGAAACGAGTTGAACCTCTTAGTGAACATAGGAGAAGTCAAAGGGTAAGAAAAGAGAAGAACTTGGATTCTAATTTTATTTCTTCACAAGCAATAAACTTCTTGGTTAAAGGAAGTAGAGATGAGATTTTAAATAAGATACCCAATGTTATGCATTTGGAAGAAGATCCTAAAACTTATAGTGATGCAATGACATCAAGAGAATCCAATTTTTGGAAGGAAACAATAAATGATGAAATGGATTCACTTCTATCAAATGGAACATAGGTATTGGTTGCCTTTCCATCTAGTTGTAAACCAATTGGATGTAAATGGGTGTTTAGAAGAAAATGTAATACTGATGGCTCTCTATAAACCTTCAAAGCAATACTAGTGGCAAAAGTTTTTAGGCAAAAAAAAGGAGTTGATTATTTTGACACATATGCTCCGGTGGCAGGAATTGCTTCAATAAGAGTATTGTTTGCTTTAGCATCAATATATGATTTATACATCCATCAAATGGATGTAAAAACAACATTCTTAAATGATGATCTTGATGAGAAATTATATATGGAACAACCTGAAGGATTTGTACTTCCAGGTAATGAAAAGAAGGTTTGCAAATTGGTGAAAGCCTTGTATGGATTAAAACAAGCTCTTAAACAATGACATGAGAAATTTGATAGTGTCATATTATCTCATGGTTTTAATCATGATGGAGTAGATAGATGCGTTTATTCCAAGTTTACTAAAGACTATGGTGTAATAATTTATCTCTATGTTGATGACATGTTAATCATAGGAACCAATTTGCAAGGAGTAAATGATACTAAGAGATATTTGACTTCTCAATTTAAAATGAAAGATTTGGGAGAAGTCAATACTATCTTAGGGATTAAAGTTAAGAAACATTGTGGGGGGTTTTGCTTTGTGCCAATCTCATTACATTGATAAGATTCTCTTCTAGTTTAACCACTTGGAAATTAAAGAAGCTAATACCCCATTTGATGTTTCCAACAAGTTGACAGAAAATTCGAGTAGATCCGTTTGTCAATTAGACTATGCAAGTGCAATTGGTAGTTTAATGTATGTTATGCATTGCACTAGACCTGATATTGTCTTTTCTATATGCAAACTTTCAAGTTATACAAGTAATCCTAGTATTGAATATTTGAGGGCTTTCGGAAGAGTTCTCGGTTATCTTAAAAGGACAAAGTCATTTGCCTTTTTTATAACAAATTCCCTTCAGTACTAGAAGGTTATACTGATGCTAGTTGGATAACTAGTATCAATGATAATAAATCAAAGTCTGGTTGGATTTTCATTTTAGGTGGAGGAACTATATCATGGGCTTCTAAGAAACAAACGAGTATTACTCATTCCACAATGGAATTTGAATTTATTACATTGGCGGCGGCAGGTAAAGAGGTAGAATGGTTGAGAAATTTATTGTTAGATATAAAGTTATGGTCACAATCAATGCTAGCAGTCTCTTTGCACTGTGATAGTCAAGCAACTATGTCTAGGACATTTAGCACAATTTATAAAGGTAAATCTAGACATATTGCTTTAAGACATGAATATATTCAACAACAACTTTATAATGGTATAATCACACTTGTCTAGTCAGGTCTAGTAAAAAACTGGCTGATCCATTAATTAAAGGACTTTCGAGAGATATGATTAAAAGCACTACGAGTGCAATGGGTCTTAAACTATTCTAAATTTGTCACTAATAATGGAAACACTACCTTTCTTGTTGTTTATCAATTTTTAAAGGTTTAAGTGGTAATAACAAGTTATTAGTGATTGTTAGCAAGCACAAGGTGTTATATATAGTGCTTATGGAAAAGGGGGTTAAATATTAATTATTCTTGATGAAGACTTTGTGTTCGGTTTTATGAACAAGAAAGTTCAAAATTTTGAAACTTTAACAACTCTTCAACTATGTGAACATGAGAAGTGGTGCCGCTTCTATCAAGAGTTTGAAAATAAAATTTTTGTAAGTGTTCCTGAAACTAGGAGGTAGAACAAGACCATAATATGGTGCTAAAGCTCACGGTGAACACATTTAGATAAACTTATAAGTTTGTGTATGACATTTTCGATCTTGTTGTATAAAATCAAGGTTTAATAAATTTAAATAACCATTGATTTTGACAAGGTTTTGAAATGTTTATACTAATAGCAAGTTTAAGTAGAAAGACACCTTCTATATGCATAAACTTTAGTTGATTTTGATTACTTACATTACTATCTAAGTGGGTGATTGTTAGAAATAGTTAGTAATGTAAGATATCCCACATTAAAAAATTGAAAGAGAGTATAAGAGTTTAAAATAAGAAACACGCCAAATTTTATAAGTTTGGATGGTGGGAATACTTGGAGGGAAGCCCCAAATATTTCAAATCAGTGTGCCTTGTTTAGGATTTAAATAAAATAATATTTAAAGTCAAAAAATGAGCACTTGGGCATTTATAAACAATTAAAAATTTGTATTAATTATTTTACACTAATTAAGCAGTTAATTAACTGCTATATGTCTCTTGGCTCAAGAGTTGTGTCTCTTCTTTACATCTCTAAGGTATTATAAATACTTGTAAAATCCTTCAATAAAAATAAAATAAGATACAAAACGTTTCTCTATTTTGTTCTTGGGAGAATTTTAGAGTTTGTTATCTAAAATTCTATTTGACTTTGTTAATCTTAGAGGAATTTGCAACAAACCTAACAACAACATAGTGGGGCATAATTTCCTTAAGGAGAGTGAATATACAATCAAAATCTTCTAATCTGTTGTAGTTATTTTGGTAACAATCACAGTCACAGCATTTGAAGGAGCATTTCAAGGCCGAAGCCATTACATTAGTTCTATTTTTTTCCCATTTGTTACTCTTAGTTGTTATTTGTTGCACTATTATTGCTATTTTGTTATTATTGGATGGGGGTGGCGATATTTAGCTAGATGTTTCAATAAAGAAAGGCAAGGAGAATTGAAAACCCAAACACTTGATTGGAGAGATTCCATTTCTCCTCGAAGAGAGTTCTAGCAGCTTCTCAGGCTCAACAAGAGGTTGTGACAAGAGAGTTTCTAATTAAATTAGAGAGTACACCAAATTTTGGTATCAGAGCGTACTTCGATTTGAACATCTCACTATATGCCCTGAGCCAGAAGTGGCCAATCTTATAACCCCATGGATCAAAGTTCCAACATCAATCCCAACCCAGCGCAAACAAACCTTCAACAACAAATGGACCAGCTTTCCCAAATTGTGGACACGGTAGTGCGGAGGTTGGATGTCATGGATGTACGACGGCACCGTGAGGAATTGAGGGAACCAAGAGGAGATCAAAGAGCTCCACGGAGGGAAGAATGGGATGGGGAAAGTGATCGAGAAGAAGAAGATGAGGTGCAAATGGGCGAAGGAAGAGGATGAAGAGTCTTTCATGAACAAGGAATTCACTAGTGGGGTCAATTTAAGGCCAACTAGTACGTTCAAAGGGAGCCTCCTGGATGAATTAACCAAGAGAATGAAGTTCTATGTCCCCAACTTTCTTGGAAAGCTCGATCCTGATGCTTTCCATGACTGGCTTACTACTCTCGAAGATTATTTTGAGTGGGTTGCTGTTTCAGAAGACCGCAAAGTAAGATATGTAAGAATGAAACTAAAGGGTCCTGTTCGCGCGTGGTGGAGCAACGTCGAGGAACAGCTACGCCAAACCCATCAACCTCCTATTTCTGAGTGGGGATAATTGAAAGAAAGGCTACAAGCGAAATACTTGCCGATCAACTACGAGCAAGTTGTTTATTAGGATATGCTTTAGCAGAAACAAGGGGTGAGGGCAACTATCGATTAATATACTGAACAGTTTCACGAACTAACGGTGAGAAGCAAGGCGGTGGAGACCAAAGCCCAGATCTTAGCCAGTTACCTAAGTTGGTTGAAGAGTGAAATAAGAAGAGAAATGTTGACAGTGCGAGCCTATAGCGTCGATGAAGCTTACCAAGTAGCCCTCCAATTAGAAAAACAGATAAACTCAGTCAGCCTGTGGAGGTTTCCATTTGCCGAAGCTAGGACCACCCGACTAGTAGCAACCCTCAAATTCAAAACAAGCACCATCGACGTATATGCCTAAAGGAGGACCCGCAAGTGATTGGAAAGGAAAAGCTAAAGCGTTTGGCGAGGGACCTTAATGCTAGAAATGCAAGGGATTCGGCCATTTCAAATGGACGATTGCAGTAGCCAAAGCATTTTCCAAAATTAAGAGAAAATGTCAACCACCCCTATGCTCAAATTACCTGATTTCTCAAAAGTTTTTGAGGTAGCTTGTGATGCTCTCTCATGTCAGCATTGGTGGAGTTTTGAGTCAAGAAAGGCATCTGATAGTTTTTTTTCAGCAAAAAGCTCAATGAATCAGGGGGAAAATACTCCGCCTATGATATGGAGTTTTATGCATTGGTTCAAACATTGAAACACTGGCGGTCCTAGCTCATACATCGTGAGTTTGTTCTTTTCACCAACAATGGCTCCTTGAAGCACCTTCATTCTTAAAATAGGTTGAACGCAAAACATGCTCGCTAGTTCATAATTTAGCATAAAGCTAGAAAGAAAAACAAGGTTGCCAACACTCTTAATCGAAGACCACACCTATTGCCCATTTTTTGTGTAAATGCTACGGGTTTTGAAGTGATGAAGGATCAAAATGCTATAGATCTAGATTTTAAGGTTGTTTGGACCTCAAGCAAGATCCACCCACCATAGTGCCTGTTTATTCTATCAAGGATGGGTTCCTCACCAAACATTCTCGAGTTTGTGTGCCAAAAGGGTACTTGAGAGAGTTCATAATCCGTGAACTCCATGGTGGTGGTCTTGGAGGACATTTTGGCTAATGATAGGACCCTTGCAATCATTGTCGATCATTTTTTCTGGCCAAAGATGCATCATGATGTGCACACTATTGTCAATCGTTGTCGGGTATGCCAAGTTAATAAAAGGGTTAAGCAAAACTCAGGGATGTATACTCCCATGCCAATACCGCACCGATCATGGGTTGATCTTAGCATGGACTTTGTGTTGGGTTTGCCCAAAACCCTTCAAGGTAATGATTCAGAGATAGTGGTTGAACCGTTTTTCAAAGATGGCCCATTTTGTGCCATGCCGGAAAACTTATGATGCATCGCAAGGTGTAACCTTGTTCCTAAAGAAAATAATACGTTTGCATGGAATCCCATCCACAATTATCTCTGATCCTGATGTGAAGTTTGTAAGTTATTTCTGAAAAAATTTATGGTCGAAGTTGGGTACAAAGTTAGCATTTTCTAGTGCGTTCCACCCACAGACGGATGGCCAGACAGAAGTCACCAATTGGAGTTTAGACAATTTGCTTCGATGCCTCGTCCAAGATTATGCAACCAATTGGGATTTAATTTTGCCTCAAGCAAAATTTGCCTTTAACAATTCAGTAAATCAAACAACTAGGTGCACACCATTTCAAATTGTTTATCGGTGCAACCCAAAAATCCCCTTGATAGCAGCTCTCTTCCTATGCCATTGCACGTTAGCGAAGCAACACTCGATTTCTCCAAATATATGTTCACTATGCATGATGATATTCGACGGAAGATTGTGGTCCAGATGGAGGAATATTCCAACGAAGCAAATTAAAAAAAGGACAAGCAATATGAAGTAGATGGTATGGTTTTGATAAAGCTTCATCCAGAACGATTTCCTCTAGGCAGCTATAACAAACTTCATGCTAGACGGGTCGGGCCTTTTCCAATCCTTAAGAAGTTGGGCACCAATGTGTTAAGAAATATAGAGTTATTTTGTTTATTAAGGGTAGAATAATCCTTTACTTTCCCTGCCCTGTTTAGCTTATATATAGTCTCTTTGTATTTAGGTTAAATTACTTCCTTATATTCAATTGAATTATGTAGTATCAATAAAACCCTAGCCTCCTCTTTTCTTATCTTTTGTATTTTTTTAGATTGTTTAACAAAGTATGAGATAACAAAGGAGGTTTGGGATCATCTGCAAAGGTTATTCACTCAATCAAATTTTGCAAAGCATTATCAATTGGATCAAGACATACGAGCTCTTCAGCAGAAAAATATGAGTATTCAGGAGTTTTATTCTGCTATGACAGATCTTTGGGATCAATTGACTCTTACAGAATCAGTTGAACAAAAGGCATGTGGTGCCTATATTGCTCGTAGAGAGCAGCAACGATTGGTACAGTTTTTAATGACACTTCGTAGTGATTTTGAAGGACTTAGAGGTTCAATTTTGCATCGTTCTCCGTTTCCTTCTGTTGACTCAATTGTCAGTGAGTTATTGGCTGAAGAGATACGTCTTAAGTCTTATTCTGACAAGAGAATTCTTTCTACTTCTAATCCTTTTGTGCTAGCAGTACCTTCTAAACCATTCTCTTATAATCAAAATAAGCCTTACACAAGGCCTACCTTCGATGAGTGCAATTTCTATAAGTAAAAAGGTCATTGGAAGGCCCAATGTCCTAAGTTAAGACAGCAGAATCAATCGTAATAGCAATCTCAAGCTTGGAAGTCTAGCAACCAGTCAAAATCTAATGCTTCTAGACCACCTCAGGGTTACAAACCACCACAGTCTAATACTGCAGTAGTAGTTTCACCAAGTCCTGTCACCGATTCTAGTACCTTGGCTGACCAATTTCAGAAGTTTTTCTCCTTACAGCCACAAGCTATGTTTGCTTCTTCTTCAGGAGGTCAGTTGCCTCATAATTCTCCAGGTATGTCACATTCTGTATGGGTCTTAGATTCTGGTGCTTCACATCATATGTCTCCAAATTCTTTATCTTTTGTTTCTGTATCTCCTTCATTTTCTATTCCTGTTATGACTGCTGATGGCATTCCTATGCCTTTATCAGGTGTTGGTTCTGTTGTCACACCTCACTTGTCTCTCCCTAATGTTTATCATATTCCAAAACTCACATTAAATCTTGCTTCTGTTGGTCAGTTATGTGATTCTGAAAATTTAGTCACCTTTTCCTCTTCTTCTTGTTATGTGCAGGATCTGCAGTCTCAAAAGCTGATTGGGACAGGTCGTAGGAAAGGGGGACTATATATTTTGGATGAGTTAAAAGTGTCAGTTGTTGCTGCTACTAGTGTTGATTTATCTTCTTTTTGTTTGAGTCCTTCTTCTTCTAGTTTTTATTTATGACATTCTCGTTTAGGTCATGTTTCGTCTTCTCATTTGAGATTTTTGGCATCCACAGGGGCTTTAGGAAATTTGCAAACTTGTGATATTTCTGATTGTAGTGGATGTAAACTGGCAAAATTTTCAGCTTTACCTTTTAATCGAAGTATTTATGTTTCTTCTTCTTCATTTGATTTGATTCATTCTGATGTACGGGGACCTTCTCCTATTGCCACAAAAGGAGAGTCTCAATATTATGTTTCTTTTATTAATGATCATACTCGTTATTGTTAGATTTATTTAATGAAACATCGTTCTGAATTTTTTGAGATATATACAGTCTTTCAAGTTCTTGTCAAAACTCAACATTCTGCGGTTATCAAATGTTTTAGGTGTGATTTGGGTGGGGAATACACTTCTAATAAATTTGATGAGTTGTTTGCCTTAGATGAAACTATTCACTAAACTTCGTGTACAGATACTCCTGAGCAAAATGATGTTGCTGAAAGAAAACATAGGCATATTGTTGAAACTGCTCGTTATCTCCTATTGTCTTCTTCTGTTCATAGTGAGTTTTGGGGTGAAGTTGTTCTTACTACTGTAGGTTTGATTAATACAATTCCATCTTCTCATATTTCAGGTGTTTCTCCTTTCGAAAAGTTGTATGGGTATGCCCCTGATTATTCTTCATTTAGAGTTTTTGGTTGTACTTCTTTGTTCTTCGTCCTCATGTTGAACGCAACAAGCTGTCATCTCGATCTACTATTTGTGTCCTTCTTGGTTATGGTGAAGGTAAAAAGGGGTAACGTTGTTTTGATCCAATAACTAAAAAACTTTATGTGTCTCATCATGTTATTTTTCTTGACCATATACCTTTTTTTTCTATTCTATCCACTACTTATAGCTTGACTAGATCTGATCTTATTAATATAGATCCTTTTTTTGAGAATTCTGATAGTTTGTCATCTCAGGTTTTTGGTACTTCAAATACCAGCACTGATCATTCTACAGGTACTGACACTTTACTCTCTGGCACACCTGAAGCTACCTCCTCTCTTATGGTCCCTCAAGCTTCGTCTGAGATTATGGATCCACCTTTACGTCAATTCACACGCATTCGTAAGTCCACAAAGTTACCAAATTTTACTTATTCTTGTTATTCTTCATCTTTTACTTCCTTTTTAGCTTCTATTCATTGTCTCTCTGAGCTCTCTTCCTATAAAGAGGCAATTCTT